GTTCACCAGCAAGATCATATTTTGAGAGGGCCCCACACCAAAGATCTCATGTTAATGTAAGTATATTCTTCTGCCTACTTTTTCCTTTATTTCATTAGTAGGGGTGTTTACTCTGTTAAAACGGTGAACAATCGAATTGAATTATCATTAATTAAATTAATCGAATTTTTTAATCGTTAATCGAATTAAATAAAAAAAAATTATTTTCGGTCAATTATTCCGAATTTTTTTAATTAAATTAATTTTAATCTAATAAAAGTATTGTTTTAATTTAGGTTAAAATTTAATTAGGTGTTAATAATTTAATGAGTCTAGTGGGGTTAAAAAATAATTGGGTCTTAATTATTAATGGCTTTGAGCTTAAAATATGTATTTAATATTTAATAATTTTGGTTAATTCTGTTGATTAACCGATTTCGAATCGAATTAGCCGTTAACCAAATATTGAAAAAAGCATTAACAATTCCCCGACCGAACTAATTCGATAGCCGACCGAACTAATTCGATAGCCGACCGAATTAACTAAACTAATTCGATTCGATCGGTTAATTGGATTAAAACCGAAAAAAGAACACCCCTATTCATTAGCCTACGCCTACGCCTACGGATGCAAGGATTTTTTTTTCCTTTTGGATATATCACTATAAAAAATTATAATCTATATTTTCTTTATTTTGCTAATTTCGCTTCTCAATTTTTTATGTTTGTCTTGCTCAGCATAAACTATTAATCACAACTGTCGATTAAGAATTATTTAATTAATAGTTTTATAATTTGAACATAGATTAGTTTATTGAATTGAAATATGAATGCATTGGATTATATTTTCATGTAAATGTTGGCCTAGCCAATGTTGTTAAGTGTTGTTTACGAAAAAAAAAACGTCAAGCAATTTTCTATGAAGAAGAAAAGAAATTAAGTTTGTCAATTCCAGCTTGCTTTTGATTTCAAGATTGCTTTAAAAGTTGTGTGTTTCGGCCATTCAAAATTAGGTATGAATAGGGTGGATTAACCATTTTTTGACCTATAATTGTACTAAGAAGATCTTCATGAGATTTTCTTTGTGGATTTTATCTAAACAATCAAAGATGGAGAAATGAACTCTTCTTTATTACCAAGTTAATCATGTGAGATTGGATTAAGCTTTGAATTTTCTTAAAAAGAAAACTATAAAGAGAAAACAGTTTTACAAAGTTGAATATAAAACTCAATACGAACCCCAATTAAAATAATATATATTATCAACTCAATATCAAAAATAAATTTGGTTGTCATCGTTATTTTCCAAAAAGCATTTAATTTTTTAAGATATATTTTAAATATTTAAAGGGATTAATTTTAATTTATAATCTTTAAAGATAGACACTCACAATCTTTATTATATGTATTTTTATATTAATATCAATGGTATTTATCTTTTACCGTTAATATTGATATTTGTTTATATATCTATTATTTTTTATTAATATGAGGTAAGTACAAGGTATTATTTGTTTGAAGACTCTTAATCATTTGACATTGAACTCTTATACTCCTAACATACATGACCCGAAACCTCAAAGAATAATAATAATTCCTTAACCATTGTGGTCGCTTGGTTCGCGCATATTCAAATTATTTGATTGAATTTTGAATTTTTTGTACGAGTTTTTTTTCTATTTTTAAATAATTAATTTATGTACTTGATATTTTATGTGAAATATCGAGTTATATGATTAACTTACTCTTTTTTTATAAACTCTTGGGATGAGTTTTCCATATTCAACAAGCACGGATGAGCACTACTAACAATGAGCATCGTTGAGCACTATTAACTTAATTTATAAAAAATAAAATTTCAAAGGACTTAACGTATAATTAAAAACTAGTTAAAAGTTTAAAGATAAATTATTTAAAACAAATATTAATTACATTATTTTCCATAATTTTTTAAACAATAAAAAATTTTAAAATTATGAAAAATAATGTAATTAATTTTTTAAATGATTTACCTTTAGGATTTTAAATTTTTATAATTATGCTCATCGTTAGTGGTACTCAACAGTGCTCGTCGAACGTTGTAGAATTTTTCAAACTGTTGTTATTTTTAAGTATTCACTTATTATTCAATAAAACTAACAAATATTATTAATCAAAATATATATTAAATAGATAGAAAAGAAAAGATCAGTAGCTACAAAGAATCTCAAAATGTTTATAGGAGTGATTACGCTTAGAAGTTGTATCTTGTGAGTGGTCTATTGCTCATTTGTAGAAAAAAAAAAAAGAGAGGAGAAAAACATTCCCAAGATTTACAATAATTTGTTGGGTGCTTAAACCAAGTTTAGGACTTATGACAATGAAAGAATACCTAAATATCATAAATACCTTTTCTATTTACTTCTTTCCGTTAATGTATCAATGATAATTTTTCTTTTCTTTCTCTTTTACATATATAGTTCAGCACATTTTGTTAAAAAATTAACGTGGTTCTTTGATCAATGGTTTCTGTCGTTGACCGTTACAATGTTGACGTAGTACTTCACGATATTGACGTGGCAGTCCACGATGGCTGGTGACGTGACAAATGAGCTAAATTGTTCTTTTTTTCAAGTTTGAGGGTCGAATTGATTTTTTAAAGTTCAAGGGCTTATTTTTTTTAAAAAAAATACAAATATTTTAAATTTGAAATATAAATATTAAGTTAAATATAAAAATATCATTAATTATTAGTATTATTTTTAAATAAAAATATTAAAATATACATATTAAAATTAATAAATATTTACTATAAAGTTAAGAAAAATTAAAATAAAAAGTAAAAAAATAAAAATAAAAATATCAAATGTACGAGAATAACGAATATATCATTTAAAAGTAAGAGTAAAATCTGTATACTAGTACGAGTAAAATGATTTCTTAACAGTTATTTATATTGCATTAAAAATAATTCTCATCCAATCAAATTTGTATTATTTTAATAGAAAATTTATTAATTCATAAATATCTTTTTAATATCATAACAAACTAATACCAAAATTTTCTTTAGATATATCAAATTTTGCAACTAACTCTCAAATATATGCGCTCTACTTTACTTCTTAACATTAGTATGTGTTTCAAAATAATGACACTAATACCAACAATGATGAAAAGAAAATGCTCAAGTGAAAGAATTAAATTTAAAGAGGGGCTGAAAATAAAAATTAAAGGACTAAATAGCTTAACATATATTTGTAGTATTTTAAAATTAAAATATTTGCATTTTAAAAGAATCAAATAAGCATTTGAACTTAAAAAAAAATCAATTTGGTCCTGAACTTAAAAAATTCAATTTGCCCAATCAGTCACATCACTAGCCACATCAACATCGTGGACCGTCACGTCAGTACAGTAAAGTTTTATGTTAGCATCGTAACGGTAAACGATGAAAACTGTTGGTCAAAGAATCACACTATATTCTTCTTTTAAGTTTGAGGATCACATTGAATGCAAAAAAATTGAGGGCCATATATTTTTTTTTTAAAAAGTATAGGGGCCTTATTATCCTTTTACCTTATTTTTTATAAAATATTATTTTTGTGTTTGATTTATAATCTATTAAAAATATTAAGTATTATATTAATAATATATTAAATATAAAGTAATTATTGAATTTAAATTACGTAACGAAAATAATTTTATGAATTTTGATGTAATCAATTTAATTTTGATATAAAATTGTTAGAAAATATATGACGAGTTAGTGAATTTTACTTCTAAATAATCTTATATATTTATGGTTTAAATATTGTAATTTTACTTGCATCCATATCAAATAAAATAAATAAATAATGTAACATTCACTAATAATGTATCAAGTAAAATTACATTACAATAATTATATTTCTAGAGATTGTCTTACTTTTTGTAAATTAAACGTCTTTAAAAATAAATAGAACTTAAATTTAATAAGAAATTCAGTTTAATTTTAATTTGATTCAAATATGACAATGAGTATGTATCTAAATTTAAACATAATATCTAAAGCTTTTTAAGTTAAGTGTTAAAATCTGTGTGTTTTTATGAACCGAATGATATTAGTAGTAAAAGAATTGTTGTTATTCATTGAGATTCGGGTTCTAGCATCAGGAGTGTTAGAGATATTAGCGTTCAATGTTAAATAGTTGAGAGTTATCTTTGAACACACACTGTCATGTACTTATCTTAGATTAGTCCAAAAAACATGTGTTTTATTATATTTAATTTATGATATATGAAAATAAATATTAAAACTACACGTCGATTTTAGTTTAATATACAAGATATGTTTTATATCAATAATGTTGGTTTACGTTGGTTATGATAAAGAAAATAATCAGTTTAAATCTTAAATAAGAAATAATTACTCTTAAAAGTAATCAAATTTATAATTTTAAAATGTCGTAAAATAATAATATGAACTGAATATAATTTATAAAAAAGAATTCAAAAAAGAATTTCCATATAAATCTTATCCCAAAACTTTTTTTTACTTCTCATGACTTCTACTAATTATAACAGTAATTAGTTAAGTATTTTTTTTTCAAAGTAATCTATTTCAACCCTTAAAAAATGTAAAAAAAAATGAAAATAACCAAATGACAACAGAGATCTTATCCTCGGTAATCAAACAAGATCCCAAAAAATAAAGAGAAAATGACAGCGACCGAATGAGGAAGAGAAAGAAATATGTGCCCACACACGTTACATAGAATCTAGGGAGAGATCACAACTATATATATATATATATATATATATAATATTTCATTAATGTAAGATTAATTTTACAATTATATTACTAAATCTAACTAACTATTTATAAAAATGTCGGATAATAAAAAAAAAAAAACTTGTGTCTGCATAATGCAGATAACATGAAGCTTTTATCGTATTTATAAAAAATATAAAAATTTTAAATTACTAATGATTTTATTCATTAATAAACGATAACATGACATATAAATTTATACTCTCACACAACATGCTTCTAATAATACAAGTTTCCATTTGCTGCAAAATACGTACAGTTTCCGTTCTCAGAACAACTCTATTTTCTTCTCTCTCACACGCTCTTTATTTCCTTCATTCAGATTAAACCGAAAGCGATTCCAACTCTTTTTTCCCTTCTTTCTCTGATCTCTCACGAGCAACCAAGGCTTTTGTTAATGGAATTGATGAAATCAGACGACACTGTTCTGAACAGACAACCTCGGGAAGAAGAGATTATGCAGAGACAGAAGAAGGGGGAGGAGGAAGAAGAGGAAGAAGAAGAAGAAGAAGAGCGACGTCGTTTTCATGTTTTGGCTGTGGATGACAGCGTTATCGACAGGAAGTTATTGGAGAAGCTCCTCAAAGCTTTTTCATGCCGAGGTAAGATCATAAATTAATTTATTTTTTGAAACTGTTTAGTTCAGATATGATGTATATAATTGCAGTGACGTGCTTTGAGTCTGGGGAAAAAGCGTTGGAATATCTAGGATTGCTTCATAACTCAACAGCAGCTGCTTCGTCTTCCCAACAACATCAGGTTTTAAATATCATAAACTTCGTTTTAGAATAAAAATATTGTATTCTTTACCATTTTCAAAATCATTCCAAGGTAATTACCTTAAGAGCTACTTAAAATATATTAAAAATTTAGGGGTCATTTTATTGTTTTATCTAATTTCCCAAGGTATTTGCATAGAACATATATTTGAATTTATATTTTTTTCATTTAATGCCTACATTATTCGATGTGTCTTTTTCTTTATAACACGATAATAGAGAAAAACAACCACTAAAAGCATTAATTTAACCGCCATTAATGCATGCTGTTTTTGCTAACAAATTTGATTCTCTTGCACTCTTATTTTTTTTTTCTTTCTTCCGAACAACAGAAGCTAAGCAGATGAATATATGGTTTTCTTGCACTCTTATTTGATTTTATAATTAAACTTGTTTATTAATTTTGATATTTTTAGTTTAAACTAATATTTTCATGGAATATAGGGACTTAACGTCAACTTAATCATGACAGACTTTTCAATGCCAGGGACGAGCGGCTATGATTTACTCAAACGCGTCAAGGTGAACCCAATAATACCTAATTATGTAACTATAATTTTAAATTTACTCCAATTTTAAATGTCAGGCGGTCTCTTACATAGGTAGGGTTTGAAACTGTAGTTTGAAGGTTATAATAGGTTATTTATTGACTGAATCAATTTTGAATTAATAAATTAAATGATCTCGCATTCTCAAGATGACACTTTAACTTGGTATTTACTTACAATTGCAGGGATCTTCTTGGAAAGATGTACCAGTGGTGGTGATGTCATCAGAGAATGTACCTTCAAGAATTAGCATGTAAGTCCCCCCCCCCCAAAATGAATTAGCGTGTAAGTTTGTTTTTCATATTTTTCTCCCTTTTTGTTTGCGAGAAAGAGAGGAAAAATAATAGAGTTGAGAAAGAAAGAAAGGGTGAAATGATTAAAGTAACTGAGAAAATGATGAATGCAGGTGCCTAGGAGGAGCAGAAGAATTCATGTTAAAGCCTCTTCAATTATCAGACCTACACAAAATCCAAGCTCACCTTCTCAAATCCCTTCCTCATTCTTAGTTCACCACGACGTCAAACATAATATTAGAAGGATGACAGTGGTTAACATCTATGACTTTAGCAAAGACATAATGGCCTAATATATCTTCTGACGCTAGTTAAAGAAGACCGAAAATGAAACCACTAGTCTACCAGTTGTAGTGTGCAACGTATTTTGTTAGGGGAACTATTTACTCAAATACCCAAATCCACGTGTTTTAGATTCTGGGGGGTTCATGTCTAAAACATTACATTTCAGTTTTGATAATTTATGACACTTCCAATATTATATTAGGCTTCCTTACTACTCCCATTCCCATACTAAAAAAAATCATCAAAGCAAGTAGCAGCGACCGAAAACATTAGAAATGGCAGATCATCTCTAGATTTAACTTGTTCTGATGGATCCAGCGGACAAGCTGTTACAACTAACTGCTCACAAAACTATTATAAATTAACAGCTAAAAGTCCGAAAATCACAACCTATATTATTTCATAGATAAGATTTTTTTTTTATTTTTTAAATTTAAAAGAGATTCATTGAACTAAAAGGGAAGGAGGCGAGGAAGAAGATCCGGCATCATCCAGTCGATGGCAATTCCTGTGTAAAACTGCAAATCCACATGCCATCTACAAAGAGAGAAAATGATTAAATAATTTCAGCAGAAACGGCTTTTTATCATTTGTTCATACTATTAGATTAAAAGAACAGCAGTACTTGTAAGAAACTTACCCTTTTCAGAGCTCATCCTTCGCTGATTCTTGTTTAACAGTTTTGTCCTTGTTCTGTTCAATGAAGTTGATGATGTCTTCCTTGGTCCTATTGCCATCGTATGGAGTTATGTTTCCACTAGACGATCTAAAGTAAATGGTTGGGTAACCTCTAACATCAAAGCTCTCATTTACAATATCATTTACAGTTGCATCCTACAAAGAAAAATGGAGAAGCGGACGGGTCAGAAAAAATCTTTCCCAAAAAGTAGGTCAGTTAACACAATAACACTCAGACTCAGAAGCGTCTGTCAGATACAAGAGGGTGCCCACACAGGTATGTTTATATTTTCTAAGCTTTCACATATTTGGAAGCATCTTGCAGGATCATATTCCTACATCCATGTCCAAATATGCATCTGACACAAGTATCAGACGTAATTGCTTCAAGAAAAATGAAGAGTTAGAGCAACATAGATCGAACACACATGATGCCAACACAACATATAGGAGATGCGGGTCCCTGCAACAATTAGTGCCACTAAAGTACCAATATATCTATTAAGAAGATTCTTCTTGATGATTTATCTAAAATCACCAACTAACAATTAGTGCTCTTGGTCTTTTATAAGGGCTTCTTCTTCTATCTGGAATTTTATACCGGGAGTTGTTTTGTGGTCATTATGGAAGGCTAGGAATTTAGTGGTGTTTGAAAACTGGAATTTTGACAGTTCTTCACTGTTCTTTATTTGCAGATTTAGGCTGGTCAAATGGTTTTTAGCTAAATTTCTTAATGCTAATATTCAGGCTGATTTATTAATAGGGGATCCATTGCTTGCAGACAGGATTTCAGTTAAACCTTCTAAAAAGGAAAAGGATCAGTGCTGGTTTCCACCTCCAGCTGAATTTTTTAAATTCAATGTGGATAGGGCGGTTAGAGGTGATGGTTTGCAGGGTGGAATTAGAGGAATTTTGAAAGACTCGAATGGCTCTACTTTAATCACTTTTTCTAATGCTGTGGGACCAGGTCCTCCTATGTTTGCTGCTCCTATGTTGCTGAGTTGAAAGCTATTAAAGAAGGCATTGATTTATTTCTTTCTTCTAAATGGGTGTTGAAGGGAAGACTTATTTTAGAGAGTGATTGTAAAACAACAGTGAATTGGATTTTGAGACCTTTTGTTGCCCCTTTGTTTTTCAGTTCTTTGGTTGGGGAAATTGGGGCATTAGTTTCTGCTAGGGACATTATGGTTAGACTGATTCCTAGGACATGTAATTGGGAGGCAGACAAGTTAGCTAAGGAGGGGATAAGTTAAATGTGTTGATAAAGAATAAACAACATAGTGGAGAAGAAAAGGAACACTTTTTATTATATTTTGTGAATGGTGAAAATACATCTTTTTATAGGAAAAGTTAGGAGTAAGTTTTCTATTAGAAGTAAACTACTTAGTAGTTATCCTTATCTATCTAACTTTCTAAGAGTTAGTGTTATATTAAAATACTAACTTATCTATTGCATAACCTACACTCCTCATGTTGGGAGTAAATGTTGAAAAGACCCAACTTGGATATAATCTCATCAAATGTAATTCTTGGAAGTGCTTTGGTGAGAATATCTGCTAACTGATTCTTCGTTGAAACATAATTGAGCTTCACCGTTCCACCATTCACCTTTTCAGAGATGAAATGTCCGTCAATCTCCACATGCTTCGTTCGGTCATGATGAACTGGATTCTTTGCAATACTTATTGCAGATTTACTGTCACTTTGAAGTTCAAACCATTTGTTGGCACATAACCCCAGCTCAGTTAACATTCTTTGAAGCCAAATTCATTCGCAAATTCCAAGTGTCATTGCTCTAAATTCTGCTTCTGCACTACTTCGAGACACCACCGTCTGTTTTTTACTTCTCCAAGTAATCAGATTTCCCCAAACAAATGAACAATAACCAGTTGTAGATCTTCTATCCGTTAATTCACCTGCCCAGCTTGAATCCGAAAAAATTTACTGTTCTATCATCACTCTTTCTAAAAATTAATCCATGTCCTGGTGTCATTTTCAAGTATCTTAGAATTCTATTCACAACCTCTAAATGTTCTCTTGGATCATTCATATATTGGCTCACTATACTGACAGGGAATGCAATATCAGGTCTAGTAAGTGATAAATAAATTAGTTTACCTACTAGCCTTTGATACTGTTCTTTGTTCACAGGACTTCCCAATTCTTCTCTCCTTAACTTCAGATTTGCTTCCATGGGTGTTTCAGCCGGCTTACATCCCTTCATTCCAGTTTCTGATAGTAGATCAAGGATATATTTCCTTTGGTTGATCACTATTCCTTCTTTTGACCTTGCAACCTCCATGCCTAAAAAATACCGTAAAGTTCCCAAGTCTTTGGTTTCAAATTCCTTCGCCAGTAGCTTTTTCAATCTTTCTATCTCCATATAATCATCACCTGTTAGAATGATATCATCCACATAGACAATCAAAATTGCCTTTTTGTTGTTTGAAGATGTTTTGACAAATAAAGTGTGATCTGATTGACATTGCTTGTAACCATCCTGAATAATCACCTTTGTAAATCTGTCAAACCAGGCTCTTGGAGATTGCTTAAGTCCATACAAGAACTTTAGTAATCTACATGCTTTTCTGTATTACTATTCACACCAGGTGGAATTCGCATATATACTTCCTCCTCCAAGTTTCCGTTTAGAAATGCGTTTTTGATGTCTAACTGATGAAGCACCCAATTCTCATTAACTGCTAATGACAGTAACACTCTCACAGTGTTTAGTTTTGCTACCGGAGTAAACGTTTCATGATAATCAACTCCAAAAGATTGAGTGAATCCTTTCGCCACTAATCTCGCCTTATATCTTTCAATACTACCATCAGCTTTGTATTTTACCGTGAATACCATTTGCAGCCGACTGGTTTTTTATCTTTCAAAAGATCAACTATAATCCAAGTATTATTGTTTTCCAGTGCTTTTAATTCCTCTTCTATTGCCTTTTTCCACTTGGGATCTTTCAATGCTTCTTCCACCGTTTCTGGAACAGTAATGCTATCTACACTTGCTGTAAAGTTCTTAAAACAAGGCGTTAGCTTTCCATATGCAACAAATCTCTCAATTGGATAATTTCTGCATTTTCTTACTCCTTTCCTTTGAGCAATCAGCAAGTCATTATCATCAATTAACGCATTTAATTCAGTGGAAGAACTCTGATTACCTTCTTCGTTCTCCAAAGGATTCTCGTTCGGTTCCGGTTCATGACAGTGTCCATGCTGTGTGAGAGACTCGGGATTAGGTTCAAGGATTGATTTAGAAATTGGTTTTTGTCGTCTCTTATAAATCTGCAACTCGGATTGAGGTATTTGAGGCGAAGTGATATGTTGATCATGCCGAGGTAAATGTGTTTCGGTGGACTGGTTTGGCAAGGATATGTTTTCTGGGTTTGGTAGTGTTGTTTGGTCTGGCTGTAGCGATTTTGTAGGCTTATTCGACTGGTTTAACTGGTTTGACGGTGCTGGTTGATAAAAAAGAGTTGGCTGCAAATCAAGTGACAATTGTTGTGAGTCAATAAACTGATATTCATTATATGACTCCCCCTGAATAGCAGTTTTAAGGAAAAAATGTGTTTTATCAAAGAAAGTAACGTCCATAATAATAAAAAATTTCTTTGTACGAGGATAATAACACCGAAAGCCCTTTTGAGTCGATGAATAACCCAAAAACACACCGAAATGCTCGAGGATCTAATTTGGACCTGAGAGGAACATTGTTATGAACGAACACAGTACAACCAAAAACTCTAAGGGATAACAATGAAGTCATCGATTTAAAATTGGGAAAAAACTGAAGAAAAACATCTCTCGGACACTTAAATTGTAACGGTTTACTAGGGAGACGGTTAATCAAATAAGTGGCAGTTAAAAGGGCTTCCCCCAAACATAGTTAGGAACATTTGTGGAAAAAAGTAGAGACCGAGTAACCTCAAGAAAATGCCTGTTTTTTCGCTCAGCAATCCCATTTTGTTGAGGAGAATCGACACAAGAAGTAAGATGAATAATTCCAGTTTCCTGAAAGAAAGAACCCAAAACATTGGCAAAATACTCACTACCACTGTCATAATGAAACATTTGGATTGAACACTGAAATTGGGTTTCAACCATCTTATGGAACCGTTTAAATATTTCACAAGCTTCAGATTTGGTTTTCATGAGAAAGGTCCAGGTAGTAATAGTGTGATCATCAATAAATGAAATAAACCACCGAAATCCATGTAAAGATGCGATTCGAGATGGTCCCCAAATATCACTATGGATCATGGTAAATGGTTTGGACGGTTTATATGGAGAAGGTAGATAAACACTCAGTTTGTTTAGTAAGTGGACAAATATCACAAGAAAAAGATTTTGGACTCTTATTGACAAACAAATGTGGAAACAATTTTGCAAGATAAAAGAAACTTGGTTGTCCTAAACGAAAATGCAATAACATAACATCGGTTGAAGGTTCAAGTAAAAGAAATTGTTGTATAACATGGTAGGAAGTAGATGGGTGGGAAAATAAAGTTGCTGGAAGTAGGTAAAGACCCCACAAAGCCTAGCACTGCCAATCACTTTCCCCGAGCTAGAATCCTGAAATTCACAAAAATCAGAGTTAAATTTCGTGATACAGCATAAATCGGCAGACAACTTGCTAATGGAGATAAATTGCAAGTGAGATTGGGAACATAAAGAACATGAGATAACAAAATGTCCTGATTTATTCGAATAGACCCATGACCGGCAACACCGGATAGAGAACCATCAGCTGTTCAAATATGAGAGATAGACGAGTCGGCATGAAAAGTGTGAAAGAGCCGAAGATCACCTGTCATATGATCACTTGCACCAGAATCCACAACCCAAGTAGGAGTGGTGGATGTATTAGCCAAAGTAGCAGAAAGAATTCTACCTGCAGGTACTGATTGGGAATGAGTGTTTAACTGACTAAAAAACTGTTGCAACTCTTCCATTTGTTTTTTAGTAAACGAACTTCCTTGTAAATCAGTATTCACAACACAGTTTTCTTGGGTATCACGTTGTTGATGTTGACTTCCCATCAATAGGCTTGCCATGTAATTTCCAACAGGAATCCCGCAGATGGCCAACCTTCTTACAAGAGTCACACCAAGGTCTCCCCTTCTTTGGCCGAGTAGTAGTTTGAGAGTGAGGGATATAATTGTCACCATTCAATCGGTGACAGGTGATAGAGGCTGAAGAAACATCAAAATGGGGTGAATTAATGAGGAATTCTGAAGTGACCTCCGATGAAGAAGTGGTGGAATTCATGATCGACGGCTAGATTTAGGGTAAAAAAGAAGAAAAATCGGCTAGATTTAGGTGAAGGATCGGTCACCTAGCTGATACCATGTTGATAAAGAGTAAACAACATAGTGGAGAAGAAAAGGAACACTTTTTATTATAATTTGTGAATGGTGAAAATACATCTTTTTATAGGAAAAGTTAGGAGTAAGTTTTCTATTAGAAGTAAACTACTTGGTAGTGATCCTTATCTATCTAAATTTCTAAGAGTTAGTGTTATATTAAAATACTAACTTATCTATTTCATAACCTACAGAATGTTTTCAGAGTTATTGTGGTTATGTTCTGTTTTTTATTTCGGGTGGTTATATTGTAAACTGTAATCTTATGTAATTATGATTTATTAATATATTGAGGTACTTTTTTCCTCCTTCCGCTAGTTGCCTCTTCACAAGAGCCAACTATGAGGGAGGTTTTTAATGAGGCCTCCTATTCCTATAAAAAAAATCATCATAAGAGAGTATTCTTCCAACAATAACCCATGGAGATTTTTTTAAGCACTTCTAGTAATTTCTATTATACACTCTTGCTAATTGGAGTGCAGCTAAAAACTTCAGCTGACCAAAACATATATAAAAAAACTGAAGATGAAACTTTACAACTTGGATAATATTCAATATTATTGAAAGCAATACATGCTCTATTAAAACCAACTAAAATAAAAGAAACTTACAAGTTTTGCAATCAAAACACTAGCATCTTTTTCGTAATGGACAGCAATTTCATCCAAAATTGGGGCCAATTTCTTGCAATGTCCACACCAGGGGGCATAAAATTCAAGAAGAACTGCAGAAACAAAAGCTTGAAATCATTTTACCACGAAAGGTGATTTCAAAAGTGGAAATGCTTAATTATACATGAAAATTGAAGTCTCTCTCCATCCGTTGCAAATCACTTGAAAACTCAAACAGATGCGGTCAAAACATTACTCTACTCCCTAATTTAAGACTCACAAAATAGCCACCAAATAGCACCCAAAATGAAAAAAAGATTAAGTTGTACACTTCAAAGTTAAAATTTTAGATTCACATAACTCTACCTTATCTTCACAACAAAAATAAGTTATCCACCAATTCATTCCAAATTCAAAGTTCCACACTGTTGGATGAAAAAACTGCATGCAATTCTAAGCACCCATTATGTCTTCTACATAATAAAACCATCCGATATCAAGTGTGACAGGGGATACAAACAGTAGGCCATGACTACCAAAATGGTAAAGGGGAAAAACTGAAAGAATAGCAAGAATCTACCCATCACACACCATTTTTTCCTGATTTGAAAACCATGTCTTCTAGGGTATCAGCAACAACCACTTTCACAGGGTCGTTATTCTCCTCAGGAACAGGTTCAGATTTTACATATGGTGGAACTTTTCCTTCCTGCAAAAGAGTATTTTACGCAAACAGAACATAGAAAACAACCAAAAATGTCTCATAACTCACACTTTTATATCCTATCAATAACTCATGAACTTAACCAGCACAAGCTACAGAAAGTTGTGATTATACTTGATGGCAGGAAAGTACAAGTTTTATCATATTCTGAAAAAAAATACAATAAATCTAGTGAAGATGTTACCTTGTAATCCTTCACAAATGGTGCAATATCATCAGCCTTCAAATTTGGTTTCAAATACTTCTTTCCATCATTATTCTGAATGATGATTAGAGGCACTTGGCTTTCTTGAACTCCAAAATACTGTTTTCCAACCCAAAAAAAAAAAAAAAAAAAACAATTAGACTTGTGTAGCAAATGCAATAAACAAACTACCATATTCAAGTAGAGACTAACCTGGAAGGCAGCTTGACTAGCCTCAAGATCTCCCAAGAGGAAACCAATTCCCTCTTGTTTGTATTGCTCAGCAACTTCACGGTATTTAGATTTTAAGGAATCAATACCTTCAGCGCTCAAGTTTGCAAACAACATAGCCTTAACAGAATCAGAATTCTCTATTAGTAGATGAACTTAAAGGATGTAAGGATCAAGTTATGACTCATGAAATCAAACCAAAATGATATAGAAGAGAAAGCTGCTAGAAAACTGAATAACACAGTCCAAACTCCAAAGTCCATTAAAAGTGAATAAAGATATTTATTTGGTAGTTCAAACATGACAAATATTGGTATTCCAAGATAATGATTGTTAGCAAACAAATGACAGCCACACTTGATTTCGTTCAATGTATATAAGAACTATGAGAGAAAAAGAATGAGTTTCTGATTCTGTAAATTTACCTTATGGTTGGGACTGTTATAGAACTTGATAACAAATGGGTGATTGTTGGGGTCCTTGTTAAAAAGTGTAACAAGAGGAATGCTAGATTCTTCAACAAATTTCTCCAGAGCTTCCACATTAAAATCCTGCAAGAAAATATCTTCAGTAAAAGATAATTGTAAATGGTACAAATGCATCTAACAACATAAGTGAATTTGTATTTCAATGATGATATAGACTATAGTCAATGCTCCAGGGTCTAGATAGATTAGCAATTTGTGTATTGTTGCGCCATAATCATGTTTAAGTATCATATATTATATAATTTTGATAAATTAATAATTTGTATTATATAGATTTTGAGTTGTTCGTCTATTTGTGTCCCATCATGTTTTTAGTTATTCTCCCCATTTCATGTAGTTGTATCAAGCCAAACTTGCTACCTCTAGCTCAAGATTACCTTGAAGTCAACAAAGAGTTCATCAAAAGGCTTGAAAAGTCTGACCACAGGGCCAGTCACTGATGATTCACCATGGGGAAGGTGCTTAGCATCCAAAGTATGACCAAATTCATAATCAGAACGCAATTTCTCAGCAAGTGCTATATAACTCTCAAACTCTTCGTCAGAGAATTTTGGGAAAACTCCAACCTAGAAATAAAACACATACACACATATCAGCTAAACTTCATAATGAAAAAAGAATGGAAACAGAAGAGCAAAGAATTCTCACTAGAGCTTACAACTACTATCTTCTTGTCATCAATGAGCTTAGTGGCATCTTCCGTCGACTTCAATTCAGCAGAAGCAGGACCGCTTTGTTTCTTCAAATACTCAACAATACCATCAGCTTCGCGTGGACCTTTGTATTCTTGAACATCCTTCCCTCCATTTCTCAAAATTTTAAGTGTAGGGTAACCCTTGACGTCATATTGATTTGCTAAACCTTTGTTTGCTTCCTCATTGGCGTCTACTTTGGCAAGAATGACTGGAGGGTCTTGTTTACTTAATATAGATGCTGCTTTCTCATACTACATGGGAAACAGAGAAGTTTTATTGTTATTAGGAGCCTAAGCATATAAATTATCAATAAGAATTGAGTACTTTAGGGGAAATGTAATTCGTTTACCTCAGGAGCAAGATTCCTACAGTGCCCACACCTAAAATATAATTAAAAGAATTTAGTGCCAAGAAGATAAACAAGACTAGCAAGGCATGATAAGAAAATGAAAGGGACTACAAATTTTAAACTGAGAAATTAAGTTAAATCTCTCAATAAAAAAGAATTTCAAGGCTAAATTAAATAATCATTGCATAAATATATATATACCATTGATCATAGAATCATGTTTGCTACATTTAGATAACAAATTATAGAACAGAATAACAAATAATATGTTAATAAACCAAAGAGATCTAGAGATGTAGCCCAAATTTGTTTATTAAGAAATGTCAAGTTAGCACATCATAATCACACATGTAGCACTTTACATTTTACTTAAGAAAGGTCAAACTTCAACAACCTAGCAGATCAAAAGTCGAAACCAATGCTTAAAAACTATAAAATATGAGGACTTTTCATAATAAAAACTTTATTGTTTCCACATAATTTATAAAAGAATTTTCCGCTAATTCCAAAAGCAAAAGTTTCTTTGAGGAAATCTATAAGCACACAATTATATCATTTCAAGATAAAAAAATGTCGGATTGCAAACTACGAGTTCAATTTTTTCAAACTAATTTCTAACTTCTATCAAGTAAACTTATAATTGGACACTGATCTCAAATCTTGACAACTGAAATTAAAAACTTCCTCCAGGAAAAATAAGATCCGGTAATAAAGAGAAAAATGCACTAAAAATCTTTTTTGAAAGAGATTTTAGCCTCCTTAAATTCTAAATCAACAAATAAATTCATCGCATGCACTTGAGTCCTTTTTTTCATAAAAAATAAAATTAAGATCTAAAAACTAATAAGAAAAAATTAGGCGCAAATGGGAAAAAGATGAAAGACTAACCAGGGAGCGTAAAACTCAACGACGATAAACTTGTGCTTACTAACTGTATCAGTAAAGTTGGAATGATCCAAAGTCAAAACAAACTCCTTAGATTCACTGCTCTCTTCAGCTGAGATCGCAGTTACAGAACAGACGATTGCGACCAAAACAAACCAAACTGAAACACTTCTCGCCATGATCGAAACTCTATTTCCCTAACTTTACTTTTTTGGGGGTATTTTCCTTTCTAATTTTCAGTCCTCGAGACTTATAGGGGTTTAAGAAACGATAGACTTTAGAGAGCGAACGCAGACCAGAAACTTGCTAGTTTGGTACGTCACGCTTTGGGTACGCGATGATGAGAAGATGTTTTAGAATCAGGGTCTAATTTGGTTTTAGTCACTCGATTATGTTAAAATCACAAATTAATTATTTTACTTTAATTTGACATAATTTAACGTTTTTACTTTTATGGAATAACGTTTACCTTTTTTCTTAACTTGGCACTTAAGAAAAAACAACAGTATCCTTAAAGTATATTAATGTTACTCATTAATTCCAAAAATAAACGGTCTTTTAAAAAAACTGATAAATTAAAACGTGTCATATTAGTTCCTTTTTTTCTTTAAAAAATTGGTTAATTTATTGTGAAAATAAAAAGAAATTAATATTAAAATAGCAAGGAAGAATAATGTACCTAGAGATAATATGATTTATTTCCATGGAACGAAAATAATGATGAAATTTAAATATGATTGATGAATTAAAAAATAAAATTTAAATATTATTTTTCACGATATCAGAATACATAAAATTTAAAATAAAAATAATAATATTATCAATTAAATTTAAATTTATAAGTACGTATTCTATTGTTTACTCAAAAAAATTAAATAAATATTATATTGTAATCAATCAAATTATTTAAAAATGTTAAATTTACAACAATAATAATATCAATTAAATTTAATATTTTATATATACAATTTTTTATGATAAGAGGATAAAAATATAAAAAAAATTGACTATATAAAATAATGCAAGTCAAGTTCAAAGGATTTATAGGATAAAATAAATGTTTTATACGAAAAAGAAACCATTCATTTCAAGAGAAAACATACATGTTAATGACCGAATTTTAAAATTGAAAGAGCATACCGATAATATGAAATGAGTTCAATTTCATACACTAACAATAATCAAGATGGCCAAAGCACCAACAATAATCATTATTGGTAGATTGAGCCTCACCGTCACCGGGGCTTCCACCAAATGTTTGCCCGAATCTTCTGTTTTATTGAATCTCACACATCTCTTTCTCTCTCTCTTAATCATAGTATAAAATAGTGGTCGCGGCATCTGTCGATGTTTCAGTTGCGGTGCCGCAGTTGTGGATGCCGCGAACGTTACGTAACGTGTTGCGGCTGTCGCGGGCGTGATATCTTCCTCAAAAATCAAAATACTTCTAAAATATTTTATCGCGTTGCGTTAATATTTCGTCGCAGTGACCTTCAAAACTGTTACGATGCGACCACTACACTGCGTTGCGGCCGCAATTTAATACCATGCTCTTAATTCTCAAAACATTTCAATTGAAATTTAATCTCTTTCCCCTTCATTTTCAGGCTTCCAGAGTGTCGAACATGTGAGCTTCAATTATTATTATAACACCCCACCCCATATCAAGACCAAGATAGTTCTCTCTCTCTCTCTCTCTCTCTCTCTCTCTCTCTTATTGTTTTAACCCTACAATAAATTCATGGAAAACAGACAAAATGAACAGTTTTCACATGTATAAATCTCCTTCAGAGGATTACTTCATGCAATATATATATATATATATATATATATATATATATATATATATTATAAAAGAAAATGCAATCAATGTTAGAAATCAGTAGATATGTATTCTATGATGAAGGTGAAATAAGTTAATCATGGTTATAACCTTTCATGTAAGAGGACTTGGCGGCCGTAAACTTCTATGGTGCAGCATCTAAAATAATGCCCTGAACATCAAATGCAATCAGTTATAGAAATCAATATATATATATATATATAACTTTTTATATTATTTTAAATATTAATTTGTATGTGAGATGTCAGATACATTTAAATATAAGTATGAATATATGAATATATAAAGCTTCCACCAATACATATAAAAGTATAAAACTAGAGTGAAAAATGTTTAAAAGACAATCAATTGAGATTGAGATTATAGTTCGATTGATATAATTGTAATAACAACGGGCATGCTTAAGTATTCTATACCCTTCAATTTAAGGGTAGGTTTTTTTTTTTTTTTTACTTTTTTTGATATAAAGGGGTAGGTTAAATCTTGATGGTCTAAACATTGTGTAAAGAAATTATAATGAACTTTCTTATTCATGAAAATCAAATAAGCATGCATGCAACTATCCTTCAAAAACATACCTCTGGAGGGTCAAATTTGGCCCCAAGGTTGCTAAGTTTAGCATGGGCTTCTGCAAAATCCTTGAAGAATGTATCTTGATCTTCGGCATATTTCTCAGCATATAACTGCAAAGCACGTAAATGCTAAGCCAAAACTGTGATTGTGTATATATATATATTCTTACTGTCTTAAATTGGACTCGATCTACTTACCTTGAAAGAGGGAGCTTCAAAAAGAACAGCATCAATTGGCAACACAAACAGATCTTCATCTCTTTTAGCTTTGATCTCCTGTATGTACGGATAAAAGAGAATCTGACGCTTTCACATCCCTTCTTACTTGACAAGAGAGTGATTTCGATTTCAAACCTTGAAGCATGAATTGTCAATTAAACTTCAACCATTGCACTGTCCAGGATTGTCCTTCCGGCCCATTTTTCTGCCATTCAAGAAATTAGAATATCCAATTTGAATTTGCCCTTGCTGCTATGCGTACAACCACAGCCACTAGGTCTTGGACCACCAACAATTCATGTTACACTTAGGATGCGTTTGGTTCACGGAATGTAAGATTACCAGTGGAAATAAAAGATTACCAGGGAATAGGATTACTGGGAATGTTGTATTTTGTGTTTGGTTGGTTTAGCAGGAATGTAAGATTACCGTGTTTGGTTAAAGGAATAAAAGATTATTAGAATGTATATTTGACCAAATTGTCATTATTATATATTTGTATAATATTACAAATTGTAAAATATTTATATATTTTCTTTAAAAAATTAAACTCATAATATTTATATAATTTTTTTACAAAATTAAAAATATAAAAAAGGTTTAATGAAATGGTAAAAAAAAATTTAACCCATGAACTTCATATAAAATTTTAATTATATATTTTTTTTTGTAAATCTAAAATAATTTAAGGATAAATTTGTAATTTAACCTTCGTAGAATTTTTATTATTCAATGACAGAAAAATGATATTTTTGAAAAAAAAATAAAATTTTAAGGGCATTTTAGTCCAAAACACTGGTAATGTTACAATACCTAAGGGAAGGGAGGTAATGACATTCCCGGTAATATACCCCAAAAAATTTACTATTGGTAATAAAACATTACCGGGAATGAGATTCCCGGCCAACCAAACATATCCTTGAACCAAACACCCCCTTAAGGAACAGATCTAAGTTATTGTGAAGACATTAACATATGATACCAGGCGTAAAGTAAGCAACCACGACCAAGTTTCTGAGTTGGCTTTCTAAAATCCAACAAAACATGAATGAAAAAACTTCCGAAGAAATTATATCAGGAAGAAAAATCAATTTACATGTAAGGTTCAGATTCGACAGATTATTTGAAGGTAACGAATAAAACCAGATTGCTTAAATACCGTATACTTGGTTTCGGGTTTACCCCAACTGCTACGTTCTGGTCTGGCTCTCCCAAGTGTACGTGCACCAGATAATGCAACTATTTCCTGCATATAATTAAATATCATTGTGTCCCCATGATAAAAGACAATAACCAAGGATATTTTACAATTAAATTTACCTTGTCATTGAATCCCATTCGGTAGAAAAACTTTCGCATATGATCAGCAGGTGAAGAGGCTCCAGCAGCTAGGCAACAGAGAAATTTTATAAAGTCAAGAGGTCTCTAAACATGAGTAGAAGATAATGTATCATTACCGATGAGGGAACGAGGTAAAACAGGCCCAAATTAACTAGAGATGCACTAATAGCAGTGTTAAAGAAAACGGGGCCAAAGGTCAAGCATGCCAGACATCAGTTGGAACTGCCGGTTTGGTTTTCTTTACGTTACTAGTTTAAATGTTTAATGTAAACTACATAATATATACCATATTTTTTATAATTAACAAAAAACAAAGCATTCGACTTACTTTTGTGGTCTTTAATAAAACTAAGAGCTTAAAGGTTCGCATCTTATAAATTACAGAAATAATTTAAATATATATAAAACCGGTTCTTTATCCATTCAATCCGGGTGAACCCGTTTTTGATGTGGACGACTATTAGCCGGTTCTTGTATAGTTGCTGAACCAAACAAACCACCAGTTTCAAATTCAACCGATCCTTTCAATCGGTTTAATCCGGTTTTAAAACAATGGTACCTCAAGTATGTGCTCTATGCTGTTGACTCTGAACACCTAGAAATGCCTATTTTTCAGCAGATGAAGAGATAGCAGTTGCTAGAGATGATATATTTCACAAGTCACATCAATGTAATGACCCGACTACAAATCTAGAATTAGTAGGACAAAATCAGGGCATTTTCAATTCACGATGAATAACATTTAAAAATAAATTAAATAAATATTATATTGTAATCATCTAGACTATTTAAAAAAAATCATACACCTATTCTTCTGGACAATGATCAGGATTAGAGGCATCAAGTCTTCCATATTTCATGGGAATTTTGAGTCCTCCAGTCTCCTGAAATTTCAACTTTACTCTCAGCCTAATAACTACAAAATCGATTGATTTAAAAATACAAACTGAAGAATAATAGAAAAGATTACCTCAATAGCAGTAGCAGTAGCCTACTGGAACAAATCTGCATAAGTTAGACTAGGGTACTTGTCCTTGATAGGCTGAATAAGTTTCAATGCATTGACTAGGCCTGAAACATAAGCTTACCAGACAAATACCAACTAAGGGATAAATTACTTCATTAACCTTTTACACCACATTATCGATGGTTTCAACCAATTAAAAATAGTTACATCAATATTTTTTTCATGTCATTTATACATTAGATTTTATTTTTCAATTCACTTTGTTCATTAATGCATATTAAAATGAAATTAAACTTAAATTTAAGAATTATCATTAAAATCTTCATTAATACTCTTTTCTTCTCCGTCAAAACAAACTTCTTTCTCTCACTCCATTGTTTCTCTTTCCAATCGAGTTGTAAAAGAAACACCATTTACAAGTGAAAATTACTTGAAATTTTAAACAATATCTCGTTAAAACCTCATCCAAGAGAAGTTAACATCATAAATGAATTAGCTTACCCATTTTTCCCATATGTAATGGGATAAGGGGAGGTATGATAGTAGGTTGCCCCCAACGCTAGGTTGAGAGCAGCTTCCGTGGAGACCTCCGAATTATAAAATGTCCTCTGTGGGACTCGATCCCACGACCACAAGGTTAAGATCATAAATGAAATAATTATAAATTGTGAAAGAGAAGCTATCAAGGGAGAACAAAAGTTTTTTTTGTATATTTAAGTGTTTTTAAATCTCAGTAAACATATTCGACTTCTATCGACTACGTTCTCAAAAGAAACGAAGAACATAAAAAACATGATAAAAAATGATCTTATTTGTCATAAGATGGTTTATTCAAGTGCAGTATTTATGTGTCATAATAATATAAGATACATCGAGTTAAGACCCAAAACATTTGGCATTTGAATTTTTCAAAGTTAAGCCGAGAACCAATCCATTTATCATTTTCTTGGTAAAAGTACACTTGTCTTAGTTTTCATCAAAAAATCTAAATGATGTTTGAAATAGTGAGCATTGTCTCTCTAAGTGTGCTTATATTTTAATAACATTCCTATGAGATGTATGGATTGTATTTCCAATGGAGTGTTGGATGAATATTTATCTTTATATAAACCACCATAGATATAGATGTTAGTTCCGATAAGATAACTAAAACTATCAACAAAAGAAAAGAGAGAGAGAAAGGGAGAGAGAGAAGAACGTTTTGTGATTGGAGAAAAAAATTGTATCAATGAAAACCTCAAAAATAATCTCTTAATTTAAGTTAAATTTTGATATGTATTAATCAAGAAATATTTTTGAAAAATAAAATTTTTGTGTATAAATTGTAAAGTCAAAAGGGGTGGTGGGCACCGCCTAAATGGAAATTAACAAAGGGGGTGGGCACCGCCTAAATTGAAATTAACAAAGGGGTGGGCACCGGCTTGGTTTTTTCAACAAAAGGGGCACCGAATTCGGTGCCCAATTTTTTTTTATTGAAAATGCAAATGGAGAAAGTATATTTTAGTCTCTGCACACTTTAAGGTATTTACAAGATTAGCCATTAAGCTTCAACTATAAATACCCTAGCCTATTTTGCTTCAAAATCATCCCAAATCATTTCTTTCTCCCAATACTAGAGAGCATTCTTGTGAGTTGTGAGTGTTTTGTAAACACCTGTAAATTTTCTCTCTTTAATAAAAGATCTACAACAGTTCAGAGACGTAGGCATAATTGGCTTAACTCCGTTATCAATTTCGGGTATTAATTTTCTGCTTTTATTTCGCATTCTCACAAATCTGGTTATAGAGAAATTAATCGTTCTCGTTTATTTCCCAACAACTGGCACAGAGCTTTTAGTGGTGATTTTTTTTTGGTTTTTTTCTATAATATTACTATTCATTACTATTTACATGAATAGTAAAAATTTTGTCGTCGATACGAATTTGTCGATGAAGGTGTTCCAATACACGGTGGTTCGCAGAAATTGTCAGAAACAATCCAAACGAAGCCAGATTCGAGTGGGAGCGATGGCTGCAGACGAAGGGAAGGTGAAAATTGAGAAGTTCGATGGTGCGGACTTTGACTTTTGGAAGATGCAGATTAAAGATTTTATATACCAGAAAAATCTATATCAACCTCTCTTAGGAAAGAAATCAGAGGGCATGAAAGATTAAGATTGGGCTCTTCTCGACAGACAAGCCCTCGGAGTTATCCGACTGACGTTATCCCGCAATGTTACTTTCAACATAGCAAAGGAAAAGACCATGGGGGGGTCTTATGGCGGCTCTCTCTAGTATGTATAAGAAGTCATCGGCCCCAAACAAAGTTCACTTGATGAGGCGATTATTCAATTTACGGATGACAGAAGGGGCATCAGTGGCTCAACACCTAAATGAACTCAACACAATCACAACCCAGTGGAGTTCCGTGGAAATTGAATTCGATGATGAAGTTCGAGCTTTAATTCTCTTATCATCTCTACCAGAAAGTTGGAATGCTACTGTTACAGCAGTCAGCAGCTCGTCGGAAAACAACAAATTAAAATTCGATGATGTTAGGGATCTGATATTGACTGAAGAAATTCGACGGAGAGAATCGGGTGAAGCATCAAGCTCCTCAGCCTTGCACACAGAGTCTAGAGGAAGAACTTCATTAAGAAATTCAAATCGTGGCATATCGAAATCCAGAACGGGAAAATCAAGAACGGTAAAGAAAGATTATAACTATTATAATTTTGGCAAGAAGGGTCACTTTAAAAGAGATTGTCGAGCACCGAAGAAAGATACTGGCGCACAGAAATCTGCCAACATGACATAGGAGTAGGAATGGCAACGGGTCGGGTTTGGGGCGGGTTTTGCTCGCCCCATCCCCGAACCCAAAATAAATCCTCATCCTCAACCCCAACCCGATTCTCGAAGGGTTTTTTATCGGGGTGCCCTATCGGGGATTTTTTTTGCCCCGTCCCCGAACCCGACCCGAAATATTATACCCGAACCCGAAAATATTTTATATATAATTAATATAAAATAGATAAAATATTATATATATAATTAATATAAAAATATAAAATATTATATATATATATATATATATATATATAATCGGGGCGGGTCGGGAATACCTTGCCCCGAACCCGAGCCTGACCCGAAAAAATCCCCAAAAAAAATCTCTGAACCCGACCCGATATCATTCAACCATACCCGACCCAAACTTAACCGGGTTTCAGGTTTCTCCGTCGGGTTCGGGTCATACTGCCATCCCTACAGAGGAGATAGGTGATGCCATGATTCTAAGCGTCAACAGTCCGATTGAATCATGGATCTTAGATTTAGGGGCATCTTTCCACTCCACCCCATGCCAAGAAATCATGGAGAACTATGACAGTGGTGATTTTGGGAATGTTCATATAGCTGATGATGAAACCTTGAAGATCATTGGAAAATGAGACATCCGATTAAAGTTACCAAACCAGACCACCTGAACGCTGAAAGGAGTGAGACATATTCCTGGCCTCAAAAGAAATTTGATTTCTGTAGGACAACTTGATGGAGAAGGATATAGTACAACCTTTTCAGGCTGTGAATGAAAGATTAGCAAAGGAGCACTCGTCATTGCTCGTGGTAAGAAGACTGGTACTCTCTATGTAACCTCAAATTTAGAGAATATCATTGCAGTAGCAGATGTTGATGGAAAATCAAACACATGGCACCAAAGGCTTAGCCATATGAGCGAGAAAGGGATGAAGACACTTTTGTCAAAAGGGAAGCTGCCGGATATAAATAATATAGACATCGGACTATGTGAAGATTGCATCTTTGGCAAACAAAAGAAAGTCAGTTTTGCAAAGATTGGTAAGAAACCCAAGGCTGAAAAGTTAGAGTTTGTTAATACTGATGTATGGGGACCATCTCCAGTTCCATCTCTTGCAAGCTAACTATATTATGTCACCTTCATCGATGATTCTACAAGAAAGGTGTGGGTTTATTTTCTGAAGAAGAAATCAGAAGTCTTTGATACCTTCAGAAAATGGAAAGCCATGGTGAAAAATGAGACTGGTTTGAAAGTCAAGCGGTTGAGGTTTGATAATGGAGGAGAATACAGAAATAGTAGATTCAGATATTTCTACGCAAACAATGGGATCAAGATGGAGGCAACAGTTTCTATGACACCGCAACAGAATGGCGTAGCAGAGCGCATGAACAGAACTCTGAATGAACGTGCCACAAGCATGAGGATACATGTCAGATTGCCCAAATTGCTATGGGCTGAAGCTATCAACACAACACCTTACCTGATCAACCGTGGGCCCTCAGTTCCCTTGGATGGTGAAATACCAGAGGAAGTTTGGAGCAAGAAAGAAATAAACCTTTCACACTTAAGAGTGTTATGTTGTATTTCTTATGTACGCATAAACTCTGTTGAAAGAAGTAAACTTGATGCCAAGTCCAATAAATGCGTCTTTGTTGGTTATAGTGGTGATGAGTTTGGATATCGGTTTTGGGACTACAAAAATCAGAAGATCATCAGAAGCAGAGATGTCATTTTCAATGAGAATATGATGTACACAGACATTTCATCCATATAATCAAGTATCTCCAATACCAAAGATGAAACAAAGGAATTTACTGAGTTCGAGGAGATTTCTGGAAATGATGTTCAAATCAGTCCTGAAGCAGTTCAAGAAGAATCAGGCACACTAGAACTGAGTCGCTCCTCCAGAATTCCTAAACCAACCCAACGTTATTCACCTTCTTTGCACTACTTGTTGCTGACTGACAATGGTGAACCAGAGTGCTATGATGAAGCAATGCATGTGGAGGATTTAGTCAAGTGGAAGTCTTCCATGAAAGATGAGATGGACTCGCTTATGTCAAATCAGACGTGGGAATTAGCTGAATTACCACCAAGCAAGAAAGCGCTCCATAACAAGTGGATTTACAGGATCAAAGAAGAGCACGATGAGAGCAAACGCTACAAAGCTAGATTGGTTGTAAAAGGTTTTCAGCAAAAAAAAAAGGTATTGACTACAATGAAATTTTCTCTCCAGTCGTGAAACTGTCTACAATCAGACTGGTGTTGAAAATTGTAGCTGCGATAATCTACATCTTGAGCAGTTAGATGTGAAGACAGCTTTCCTTCATGGTGATTTGGAGGAAGAAATCTATATGAGGCAGCCAGAAGGCTTCATAAAGGCATACAAGAAAATCCTGGTATGTAGGTTGAAGAAGAGCTTGTATGGTTTAAAACAAGCTCCTAAACAGCGGTACAAGAAGTTCGATAGTTTCATGAGTAGCAGTGGTTTTACCATATGCTAAGCAGATCATTGTTGCTACATCAAGAGGTTAAAAAATAGCTTCATTATTTTATTGTTGTACGTTGATGACATGCTCGTTGCAGGCTTAGACATGCAAGAGATTATAAACTTGAAGCAAAAATTGTCAAAGCAGTTTGCAATGAAAGATCTGGGCGCTGCAAAGCAGATTCTTAGGATGAGGATTAAGAGAGACACAAAGTTGGGGACTTTGATGTTATCATAGGCTGAGTACATCAACAAATTACTCTCCAGGTTCAACATGCAAGATGCTAAACATTAAGTACACCTTTAGGTGTTCATTTTAGACTCTCCAAAGAACAGTCACCAAAGACGGAGAAAGAACGTGCACACATGATGAAGGTGTTGTATGCCTCAACAATTGGAAGTCTGATGTATGTCATGGTTTATACTAGACCAGATATTGCTCATGCAGTGGGAGTTGTTAGCAGGTACATGAATAATCCAGGTAAGGTACACTGGGAAGTAGTCAAATGGGTCATCAGATATCTGTGGGGTACTACAAACAAAGCACTTTGTTTCAAAGGTGGAGATACGATACTGATAAACTATGTAGATGTTGACTTAGCCGGAAATTTTGACATCAGAAGGAGCACTACAAGGTATGTCTATACTCTATGAGGTACTGCAGTGAGTTAGGTTTCTCAACTACAGAAGATAGTTGCTCTCTCCACAACTGAATCATAATATGTCTCTGTTACAGAAGCCATCAAGGAGATGGTTTGGCTCCAAAGTTTCTTGGAAGAGTTAGGAAAGAAACAAGAAAACAATGTCTTGTATTGCGATAGTCAAAGTGCTATCCATCTAGCGAAGAATCCGTCTTTTCATTCCAGGACAAAGCACATACAATTGCGATATCATTTTATCTGATCTCTTCTGCAAGATGGGATTTTGAAACTTGAAAAGATTAGTGGAGCTCAAAATCCGGAAGATATGTTAACAAATACGGTGACTACGGACAAACTAAAGTTGTGTTCAGCTTCAGTTGGCATGCTAGAGTAACAAGACCAGAAATGTTGCTGCATTAATCGAGGTGTGAAGACAAATTAAAATCAGTCTTCAAGTAGGAGATTGTAAAGTCAAAAAGGGGGTGGGCACCGCCGAAATTGAAATTAACAAAGGGGGTGGGCACCGGCTTGGTTTTTTCAACAAATTCGGTGCCTAAGTTTTTTTTATTGAAAATGGAAATAGGGAAATTACATTTTAATCCCTACACACTTTAGGGTATTTACAAGATTAGTCCTTAAGCTTCAACTATAAATACCCTAGCTCATTTAGCTTCAAAATCATCCCAAATCATTTCTTTCTCCCAATACTAGAGAGTTTTCTTGTGAGTTGTGATTGTTTTGTAAACACCTGTTAATTTTCTCTCTTTAGTAAAAGATCTGCAGCAGTCCGGAGACATAGGCATAATTGGCTGAACTCCGTTATCAATTTCGGGTATTATTTTTCTGGTTTTATTTCGCATTCTCACAAATCTGGTTATAGGAAAATTACTCGTTCTCGTTTATTTCCCAACATAAATGACATAGAAAAATATTAATATAGATCTTTTTAATTAGTTAGGATCATTGATAACGTAGTGAAAAAGATTTATGAAATAATTTTTCAACTGAATTGATTTCACGAAACAAACACATTATCAATATTGGTTTTATATTTCATCTCAACTTCGGACCTAAGACTTCCATTTGCACCACTTCTTTGAGGCCATTCCATAACGTTCTTGTTGTAGGTATCAACATCATGCCATCCTAGACAAACCTATTGAACACATATCATATTACAATAAAAGGAAAAAAAATTTATCGATTCATGAACAATTTTGAGCCCCCCCCCCCAAAAAAACTCAAATGGTTCTATAAGAAACTTAAACGAGAGAACTCATTTAACAAAAATTAAGCATGATGTTTACCATTTGATCTTCAAGTAAAATCGAAGATCACTCTATATTTTATATGCAGCGTAAATCTATAATTCATTATTTCAAATATGAAATAAAGCTTCAGCAAAATAAAATGTCTCCAGAACGAGCCTCCATGCTATTCTTTTTACCCTAAAATCCAAATTCAAAGAAACATAACAACATTTATTCAACAATAAACAAAGTGAAACGCGATCAATACCAGAATAGGATGAAATTATTTGGATTTGAAAAGCTCTCTGATATCTGCCCTAGCACCTTTCAACTGATCAGTATACGAGGCGGCGCATTTCAGACTTGCTACAGAGCTGAATCTTCTGCTAGTCGATACCTTAACAACTGATTCTCTCTATCAATATCAATCAAGAAACACAACAACAACAAAAACTTTTTCTTAAACATGTATATAAATAAATCCAAAAGAGAAACATAAAGGAAATGGGAGAACTTGATGACGAGAGAAATGAGACGAGAGAGGATAGAGGAAGAGAAAGAAAGGATAGAGGGAGTGTCATGGAGAGAAAATCGAGCGGCAGGGGAAGAATAAAAGATACGGAAAGAGGCGGTGGTACAATTTCTATGCATTTAACATGCATATTTTGAGAATGATTTTTATATATATGACTGTATTTTTCTGTGAACTGGTTTTTTCAATAATATCCTTTAGCATTTTTTTTGAGATTATTTGCATTTGAGAACTTTGAGTAGATTTTTTTATGTTGACACTTTAGGAAACCTCAGCATTGATTTAAATTATTATTTTATAGTTTATTTTATATTTTATCAATAATCATGTGATATGTTTCTCCTTTTAATGTAAATTTATCATCAATTTAACACAAATGATAGTTTAAAAAATTCAATTTTATATTAAATTATTTAATTTATATCTTATTTTAATATATAATAGAATTATAAATTTTGACCCAAAAAACTTAAATTTCCATTTAACATATGATAGAGAATATGCATTTCATTGCATTAAAATTTGTAATATTCTCTGGACTTTAAATTAACTAACATGCCTTAGAATACCATAAATCTTCACCGCTATCATGAAAAACATACTTAAAGTTAACTACATAAACTATCACTTTCAGTTTATTTTAATACCTAAACTTTTATTTTTTTTTAAATCATGCTTAAAGTTTAATTTTTGTTTTATTTTAGTATCTCGTTCAAATGTAACCTTAACTTTTGAAAAAAAAATAAAAGTTTAGGTACTAAAATGGACCAAAATTGATAGTTTAGGTACTAAACGCGTTAAATTTTTAATGGATTACTAAAATAAAATAAAAACTAAATTTCAGGTATGTTTTTTGAAAAACTAAAAGTTTAAATAATAAAGTTGATAAAGAATAATAGTTTAAGTACTATATGCAGATGTTCATATAACATGTTTATCATTTCCATCTCTTGTTCCCGTATATCATATATATCACATATACACATAGATCATTTTCATATTCACATATCACCTGTCACATATAACATGACTTATCACATATGCTTGTATTCTTTTCCACAGCCCGATTAAAATTCCAGACCCAACCCGGTCCTGGCCCAGCAGAACCCTTATAGGGTTTTCATCTTAGCTCCAACCGTCATCTCCTTACCACCGTTGGATCTGGTCTTGATCCAACGATCCATATACATCCAGAACGAAACCCTAGGGTATTATAACCTTAGGGCCACGCGGCTGCCGCCTCTGAAGCCATTCCAGCCGCTGTCGATGCCTCTAATGCCATATGCCTCAGCCACCTTCTGCCACCCTTGCCGAAGACTCCAGAAGCACCACTAAACCGCACACGTCGCAGCTATTGAGTGATTCACCACCATAGTTTGGTGACTCGCCGAAAGTTACCCATGGGACCGGTCCGAGGCAAGCAACCGGGATGGCTATAAAGCCATCACCAAACCTGAAAAAGAAAAAAAAGAAACCACAGCAAAGACAAACGAAAGGTAACCAAAAGAGAGTAAGAACGGGGAACAACCGAGAACCACCACCAACAGCAAGCTATCACAAACAACAAACAAACGACAAAGAAAAGGAAAAGAGCCTTATCGAGAGGATTACACGACCATCGGAGCCTCCACATGCTTCCAAAACATTCGAAAACCCGAGGTATAATTCTATATCTACGAAAATCTAGGGTTTTTTAAGCGGAAAAAGAGATCGGAATCGGCCTTACGACCATCGGATCTATAATTTGGGAAATTTCAACCACTATCGATGGTGACCGTCGGCGGCGATCGCCACCAGAGCACGGTGGCCGGCGACTGCCATAATTCTCTCCGGTGAGGGAAGCTAGAGAGAATCGAGAGAGATTGATATATCTCTCTCTTAGAGAGAGAATGAGAAAGAGAGAAATGAGAAAACCGACCATTTAGGCCAGTTAAATGGGTTTATATCCCCATCACCGAACGACATCATTTTTTTGGATAATTTGATTTTATTACCCAATGAGCAGTGAACTGCTGCAAATAACAATCAATGTTCAAAAATACAAGGATAACCCTTAAAAGAAAATAAAATGCTATTCAAAACAAAATTAGACTATACCCCATTGATTACAAAGAGTAATGTGTGCGTTGTGTAATCTATGAGTGAACCTATCCCTAAGTTGGAACCCAACAATTTCCTTGATCTCGCCAAACATAGCCTCAACAGTAGATGCATGAGATTGAAAGAGCCTCCTATTTCTTTCTTTCCAGATAATGTAGATCAATGCATTAGAAGAGATTTTCATAATTGAAGTTAGAAGTGATTTCCGCTTCCAAGTAGCCACTGCCCAATCAAAGAGAGCAGTCCAAGTGGAGTGACTAAACCGAAGACTATTGAGGGTGAAGATTTTAGTCCATAAAGCATTGGCAACCGGGCATTCCAAAAATAAATGGTTTCTGGTTTCCATACCATCACCACAAAGAATGCATTGATAGTCTTTAACGATATTCATTCTGAATAGTCTCTCTTTTGTTAGAAGTCTGTCGAGGAAAGTCATCTACGCAATGAGACTGTGTTTGGGAATAAGAAGAGGAAACCAAAATAGTGAATGCCAATGGACTTTAGGATTTTTCAGTCGAATTCCATTCCATATGTCATTGATCTTCTTGGAAACCGAAGGCAGAAAATAGGAAGCTTCAGCCCTTAGCTTCAGAATTTGCTTTAAACTCCAGCTCATATTGGATTTAACAGGGATAGAACAGAAATCGGTAGTAAGAAACATATAGCTCTTTAGCCAAGCCACCCAAAGGGATCCTTCACCAGCAAGGATATTCTTAATGAGGCTCTTCATGCAAGCTTTGTTCTAGGTTTTTAAGTCCTTAAGTCCGAGACCTCCCTCTGTTTTTGGATGACAGATTTGCTTCCAACTCACTCTTGCACAGCAGCCGGTTTATCTGCCCCTTTCCAAAAGAATCTAGAACATAACTGATCAATCTTTTTAATGACAGAAGAAGGGAGGAAAATCTGCCTACACCAA